GTAGAGACCAGGGGAGCAAGAAAACTGAGACAAAGGAGGCAAAAAAAAACATAGCTGCACAAAAAGACCTACCTAGCCGAGTTGGTCAGTATCCTGTGCTCGCGCTAGCGACTTGGGTTCGTGGTCGCAATTTTCTTCATCTAGATCAATGCACAGGACGATCCATGGCCGCTAGATGTAGATTGGACGCCACTAGGATCGTTCGGATCAGTCCCAAAAAACAGGTGGTCCGGAAATTAAAAATGTTGTTTAACAGCATTAGTATTCCTTTGTTTTTTCAATTCCTATGTATAGAGAAAATGTTGCCTCACGATGGAAGAATAGAACTCCTTTTGAACCCCCACAAAAAAAATTGTGTAAATTAATGCGTTTCCACCAATCCCTCTATAATGCACATGCAAGGCTATAATATTTCTATGTATATTTTCTCCTCTGTTTTTGAGTTATTATGAATCCTGGGCCCTAAAGCTAAAGATAATCATACTTTCAAACAAGACTTTCAGAATTGCTTGTGAGATTAGTATGTTGGCAATATAACCTGGTAGAAAGACCTGATAATCAGATATGAATTTAAAATCAGCTGGCGTGTCTTCCTAAAGGCATCATTACACAAACAGCAATAACTGTTGACGTGTACCACCCGTCGATAAGGCTGCTCGTAATGGGAGTATCGTAGGTAGTATCATGCATGCCAACTAAGCAAGTTTGATGAGGTGGCATAGAAATAAATGAAGAAAGAAAGGTTTGAGTATCATATCATGATATCGGTCACATATTAAATGATGTGCTACTTTGTGTTATGCATGGCAATAAATGTAGTCCTCTACTCCCTCCTTTCCGGTTTATAGGTCTTATCTCAAAATTTTAGTTTTTCCATTTTATAAGGCTCAATTTGGTTGTTTCCTATCACATGTTTAGACTTCAAGATGCATTAAATCATTGCATGCAAGTATTAAGAGAAAACTGACCAATGTATACATGCATTATAATTAATGCATTTGTACACATAATATTTTGAGAAAAACAAAAGCATTAATTGAGTGCTTTTGCAAACTACAAAAAATATTTCATCACTCATCATTTATCTTGGTTGGTGAGATTTTTGAATTGAGCCTTATAAACCGAAAAGGAGGGAGTATGATACCAACTTATGATACTATGCATTGAGGATGTACTCCCTTCGTTAAGGAGGGAGTATGATACCAACTTATGATACTATGCATTGAGGATGTACTCCCTTCGTTCCTAAATAATTGTCTTTCTAGATATTTAAACAAGTGACTACATACAGAGCAAAATGAGTAAATCTACACTCTACAATATGTCTACATGCATCCATATATGATAATCCGTTTAAAATGTCTAGAAAGACAAATATTTAGGAACGGAGGCAGTAGTATATGTTGATAATGCCCATTACAACCAGCCTAATACTCTGTCTAACCTGTTTGCCCGAACAAAACAATAGTACTGCATGACTTATCTCAGAAGACCAAGGAATGATTTTGCAAGCACGAAGAGAAGATAACCACTACTACTAGTAAAACAATAAACGTTCTACCCGTTCAGAAACGAACATGCCACGATATCAACAGCACAGAATTGGAGGTAAACAGGAGTATAATATGGGAATTCCTCAGTACAGGTGATGGCAAAACCTGCGCTCTAACAGCCTTGCTGTCCTAAAACTTATTATGTCAAGCATCAAACTTCCCGGGGACAAAAAAAGGCCTATTTCGCCTGCTTAATGAGTTCCTCTCATCAAAATGATGACACAATAACCATCTGCTACAATAACAAAAGATTTCGGGTGCTAAACTCAAGTAATTGATACAGTCCCCATCCACCAATACCCCATCATCCCGGAATACATCGTCATCGTCATAGTAGGAAAAATCAATCAAGCGATGGCTTTCGCTGCTTCCTCTACCGGAGCAACTGGTGGAGCACCGCCGGTGGTCGGGCTGGAAGAAAATGGATTACCAATTGTTACTACTTCCTCAGAAGCTGTTTACCAGATGAATTTGCATAGAGGATGAGATACTTACAGTCCCACCATGACCTTGAAGGCGTCATAGATTCCCCACTGAGCACCGGTAAGAGTACCGATCATGACGATGCGAAGGGGAAGTCCTCTGGTGAAAAGGCCCAACATGCCAATCTTCTTAACAGCCTACGAAGGTTTAATAATAACATGAAGTCAGCAAATAGTCCAGTAGTTAAGAAGAGGATAGAAAATCTCAAAGATAAACTAGATAGAAACATGCTTACATCACCCACTGTAGCACCCTTGGCATTGTTGAGGAAAGAGACCAGGTTGTCAGCCGGGTGAGAAACAATAGCACAGAAGACACCAGCAATGTAGCCACCAGCAAAGCTGATACCCAACTGGGAAGACTTGCTGCACTCGGCCTTGGGAACAGGAACAGCGTGTTTGTAGATAAGCTCAACAATGGTCTCAAAGGAAGCAAACTTCATCATGGTGTCTGAATAAAGCATGGAAATATTCAATGGATGAGTACACCATAACATATGAACAACAACAGAAGTTCAAAGCATTATACATTCAGCATCTATCAAATTCTATCTAGATGACATGTGATAACTAGAAGGCTACAACTAATAAAATTCAAACATTATGTCATATTCAATTAACATTGGCCAATCCTAGAAGTGGAAGTAGACACTTGCAATCTGCATCAGCTAACATTAGTCTGCGTAAACTTCCAGACTTCAGACAAACTGTAACCAAGCATAACCCCTTACGAGAGGGGAACACAAACATCATCATGTTATGAGGTATGGAATTGAGATTGATGGGAATTCCCTTTCTTGTCATTTATGAACATAATATCCAAACAAAATTGGCAAACATATAACAGACATGTGGATTCAAAATGTTCTGCCATAACCAATTTACAATAGACAAAAGTTGTCAAGTTCAGTAGATATCAGACTAGATACAGGCATACAGTAATGTCCATATTTATTTTTTTGCGAGAGAAGTGAATTTTGGAGTTTCAGCTAAAAACTACCATCACAACTGTGGAGTGAATGACTCTAAGGAGTCAATGAATAATGCCCATAAGCTAAGCAACAAATAGAAATGGTAAAACGAATATAGAATAGCATCAGCATGGTTGGCCATCAATAGGATAGAAGAATGCTCATACAGGAGAAGAGAAAGTTACTCTACAAAACATCACCAATTGGCATATCAAAGAAAACACAACAGTGCCAATCAGATGAAACAGGAGACCAGCTTTTGAGCATTTGGTGGTACCAAAGCAGGCCACATTTGTGAAACAATCATAGGAGTGACTATTCATATTAAAAGAGTATAACAGAATGATAAGAGACAGCACTTACAAGGAATCTGGCGACCCCAGAGCGGAACAATGCCCTTGTAGAGCCTGGCATTATTAACAAATAAAAGTTAGGGCATAGGATCAGGGTAAGAAAAGAAAATCATTAAGTTTTTAAGTTGGCTGGCAGATTTACTTACCCAGCAGCACCCTCAGCTTTGATGAACTTGGGAAGCCCATCACTCAACCCACGAGCAAATCCAGGCTGTGTCTGCACACGGACCTTGACAGCTTCAAAGGGGCACAGAGCGATATCAGCAATTACCTCAGCAGAAGCTGACCCTGCAAGGTAAATCAGGGTCTTGTACTTCACAGCATTCTCAGGCCCAGCCATATCTGAGTAGGTCTTCTTAAAGAACTCATAGAACCCAAACTTGCAAGCCCCCTGAGCACTGTAACCAAGCAAGGTAGGCACCCATCCCCTGAAGAATCCCCTAGCTCCTTGCTCCTTTAACAGAACACCAAATCCAGATGAGATGCTCTTGTATTTCGCCGGGTCAATCTGGAACAATTGATAGGAATGTGTTAGGTCCAAAATACTTACTTGAAACCTATCGACACTTCACAAGTTGCAGCTTAAAATGTCCATAGAGTCCTAATACCTCAAACAGTAATCACAAATCATAATGTCCATATGAATCTTAACAACCTCAAACAGTAATCACAAATCAGAGTAGATGGTACTTCAGTTACAATGCTAGCTGGAATATATGAAATTAAAAAGAAACGAATCAACGGTCTTCAATACAAGATGGATAAGCATTAAAATTGATCAACAATACTGAAAAAAATAAACAACATTAGATGATCAATTTGCTGAACTTTAGTCAGATGTGACTTGTTTAGGCAGCTGTACACAAATTGATAATGGCCTGCTGCCCTACAGTTGGGACTGAATTTCCATGACTGAGCGGTTCACTCTAAAGGAACAACATTACACACTGGGGCAGTTTCCTTCACCTGAGTCACCTCACTCTAGAAACATAAAGCATGAAGTACAGGTAAAGTGATCACAGGTTAGTCACATCTCATTCACGCATAGACTTGAAATTAACTCACGCCTGAATGGCATAAGAGCTAACACTAGCACAGACCTGATTTTATACTGATCTTAGTAAAAGCCTAAGAATTGCACATTCATCAACATAATTTGTACTACTACAATACTGTACCAAGTAAAAGCCTAAGAATTACATATTCATCAACATAATTTGTACCACTCCGATGAGAAAAGCACATAATAGACTTGACATTAACTGGGCTAATCTGTGCTTAGCAAGCAATGAAATGCATCTACTGGAACTGCGGTCCACTCAACTGCAAGCGTGTACTAGTAGTCACCAGTTCCTAACAAAGCACGGCAAGCACATCTGCGCCAACATAAAGCATACGGGAGAACAGAACAAGACATAAATCCTTGCCAGCACCAAACTACACGCTCGGAGACACGGAAACTGGCCAGATTCATGCATCCAGATCGCGAAATGCCTGCCTAGATGACGGAGATCGAAATCCGCATCCGCATCGAACCTACCGACCAGATCTACGCCGAATCCTTCGAGAACTGAACCCGAGACGCGCGTGGGAGCACAGATCTAGGCCCTCACCTGCATGTTGCACTTGACGAGGTCGAGCGGGGTGACGGCCATATGGGTGAGCCCGCAGCTGGCGATCCCCCCGGCGGTGCAGGCGGCGTAGAAGGCGGGAGAGTACATCTCTATCTTCTCGTTGGGCGCGCGGATCGAGAAGGGCCTGCCGCCCCCGACCCCGCCAGCGCCGACGAGGCCAGCAGCCGGGGCCGCGGCGGGCGAGGCGGGCGCCTGGTAGGGCGACGGGGAGGAGGGGAAGCGCGGGGAGGCGGCGGCGGCGAAGGAGCGCGGGGAGTAGAGGAAGCTGGGGAGGAGCGAGTCGCGGGAGAGGTCGGAGAGCGCCATCGCCGCCGGGCCGGGAGATCCGGGCGCGGATTCGCGGGGGGCTGCGGCGCTGGCGATGCTTTCCGAGCTCTCCTCTCCCTTGGCGTGGCGATGTTCGCGTGGATTTGACGGGGGTGCGGCGAGGCCCGAATATATGGAGGCGCTGCGCGTCCCCAACTTGTTGATTGTTATTAGGGTATTGGTGGTGGGCTCGCTGGCTGCGGGGCCCGGCGGCAGTGTCCAGTGTGGTTGGTTGGTGCCTGGCATCTGGGGCGTGGATGGTACGCGTTCTTTTTTTTTTTCATTTTTCAAAGAGGAAACAATGGGAAGTGAAGAAAGCTTTGGGTGTTTTTGGTCTGGCCGGAGTCGTTGCTGCTTTCCCGGAAAAAGAGTCGTGGCCGCTTTCTGGGGTCGTAAATGTGGAATTACGCCTTGCTAATCGCGGCGCGGGTCGCCGTCGCGGAATATGCAGCTGAATATTCCGAGGGGGAGGGGCGCCCGCCCGCCCGCCCGCCCGCCCGCCCGCACATGTGGTCGACGGAGGGGGACGAGCCGCCGGAGTGGATGGGCCCCTGCGTGGGCCGTGTGGCCATGTCCAGCGTCCACGGCGAGCTTGTTCTCCCGTGTCGGTGCACCTTATTTGCGGTCTCTCCTTCAAGGCCGGCACATGCAGAGATACTGTAGATGGGAGTATTATTAATTTACTTCCAGAAAAAGCACAAGTCAAATGAAAGCAACTTCCAGCGAAAGGGGGAGAGCGTTGCTTGTCTGTTGGGGCAACGGTTTGTTGCCGGCCGCCTGGCCCCGGGATGAAACCACCTCAAGCCGGGGCCAAGGGCTGCTTCACCAAACGCAGAGCGCGAGATGGTGTTTCGGCCGTCTCAAGACGTGGTTTTATTTTCAATGACTTTATTATGTTGCAAGATAGATGAGCTTTTGTGTAGGCACCATCTAGTTAACGGTCCGAAAGGCATGCTCGTTAATTCCCCCAGTAGTATCAGGAATATCTTCGCATGACAACCGTCTGACATCTCTAGTGTCTCGCCGAGCACTCCCTTGTAACATTAGAAAAAGAGTCTGTCCATTTTTTTTTCACCCGCAAAAAAAAAGAAAAAGAGTCTGTCCGGTCAAGCGATTCATTGAACTGTACTGCAGGGCTATGGGGGGCAGAAATACTTCATGCAAAATGTTTCACACCCTAACTGGTTTGCCAACCACGTCATGGTGCCGAAGACGAACAAGACTCGGCGCGTGTGTGTTGACTACACCGACATTAACAAGGTGTGCCCCCAAGGACCTATCCCCCTACACGGACCCAGGTGATTGATTCAACTGCAGGGTGTCAGCTTCTATCGTTTATGGATGCCTACTCGAGCTATCACCATATACGATTGAAGGAGTTCCACCAGTAGGCGACTTTCTTCGTCACACCATACATACGCTTATGCTATGTCACAACGCCCTTCGGGCCTCAAGAAAGCTGGCGCCACCTACCAGCTGACAATTCATACAAGGTCACCTAGTTCAGTCTTAAGTCAAACTGTTTTTAGTTCAACCAAGTTTGTAGAGAAAAAAATTATCAACATATACAATATCCTATTAATAACCTTACGAAGACATATTTCATGATTGATATCATGATATTCCTTTCGTATACTAATTTTTTTCTACAAACTTGGTCAAACATAAAAGAATTTTGACTTGATACACTATGAAGTGGATTTTTATACAGTGATGGACAGAATATCAAACAAGAGCCAAATGGCTAGGCGTAGTTTATTACCATCATGGTGACAGATTCAAGTAGGCCTTTGCTAATGTTGTTACCTGAAACCTGCTAATCTTAGTTCCATACAGTTGGATGTTATCGAAGCCATTTGTCATTTTGACCTAAGAAGCTAAGCACACATGCTACATCCACAAGTATGTGGTAAGAAACATTGGCATTCATCTAGAAGATCAAGGGAGTGGAAATGAAACCTTGTCTTGTCTTCGATGAATGTGAAATTCAAAGATTTCGTTTCATTGTAGCAGAAAACCTGACCTTGGATTTGAGCAAGTTCTTAGAAATTAGTACCGTCGCCACCCTTTCTTTTGGATTTTTGTATTGACTTTCGGAATCATAATTTACTTTCTCGTATTCTTTTTTTGTGTAAATATCCACCAGCATTTGTACTATATTTTGGCAAAACTAAAACATGATTAAATTATTTCCGTCATAGTTAAGCCATTACATTTCAATCATAGTTAACAACATGGTCTTAACTTGTGGCTTGGTGATTCTAGGTAAAAGGTTGATGCAAATCTGATGGCATTGGCGATTTACCATATATATAGGATGAAAACTAAATTCAAGGAATCTACTATTCATAGGTTATTCTTGTTATTACTCAAAAGATAGAGACATCACAAAATGTGCTAACATATGTAATGATGCTATAATACGATGTAGAAGGGTCGTCGTAGCAGTTTGTCTACCATCATTAGAGGGTGAAGCTTCGAGGTGGAATCGTTCTCTGGATAATCATTATGTCATAAATTGGGAAGAACTAAGTGGTGAATTTCGTATGAAGTTTTATTTTGTCCATCAAATACATGTTGATATAAATTACATATGTTACTTTTGGCCATGGATCTAGATTTGGGGAGACTAGCGACGCTCTTTCTCAAATTCCCCAATCATGAGCTTTTTGATAAAACTATTGCTTCTAACTTTTGTGCAAGCCTTCCCGCTCTTGGCGGGGAAAGACTTCATATCTCTTCTAAAGGGTGCTTTAATAATAAAATTGTTGAAGAAGCTTGTGATCTTATTATTCGTTCATTCCAACAGAGAAACATGGAAAATGGATAAAGTTAACAAAGGAGGTAGAAATTTTGAGTATGAATGCATTAAGATTTTTTTTCTGAAACTGATGTATTGATTCTGAAGAACTTGTTAATCTTTTTGAATCCTTTGCTTCTCATATTAATATTACTAAGACTAGCTTGGAGAAATGTCATGAACCATTTAAAGATGTCTCTAGGGAAAGAAATAATATTGATAAAGAAATCTATGTTAGCACTGTCAAAATAGTGGAACCTATTGAATATGTTGAGACCATGTTTCCCATGAAAATGAGAGAGCATATGTTCACTTCCACTGTTAAGAGTAAACGGGGGAATAATTGCAACACTCCTTATGAGCAAATAAAGCACAACATAATGTAGCTAAGACTGAAGAATTAATGTTGCTCTCTCGTAAGAGTGGTTGGTTACCTGTAAGTGCATCTAGTGCCCCTTAGTGATTTTGATGTATTGAAGACTTATAGGTTAAGGGACTAATGCGTTTGTGAGTGTACACAGGTCTATAAGTCTATGAGGAGCTTGATATTTATAGAGAAAGTCAACCCCTAAAAATGAATGTCTTCAACTAAAGACTTTGGATTTCTGAAGACTTTGAAGATGAAGAAATTGGTGTGACCGTGAAGACTTGGTATTCATGCGAGAAACATGAAGCGTGAAGACTTTTGTTTTTGTAGTTTCATTTTCTCTTTCTTGAGTCATAGGAAACACTGTACTGTTAAAGGGGGTCGAGGAAAAACTAAGGAAAAGTTTCCAAGTGATGCTCAACTCAAAATCCTACACCTACCAATCCCTTCGAGTGAATCCATTGAAAATCTCATATAGTTCAGTCAATTTCTTCAGTGACAGAGACAAAGTTCTTCTGGTCTCTGAGGAATTTGTTCTGACTGAGGAGTTAGAAATTCGCCAGTGCGGATCACCTACAAGTGAGGAACATGATAGCCCTAAGGAATTTGAGCCTCAAATTTCCGCCCATTGTTGTGCTACGAGCTAGCTGTCCCAAAATATCTACCCAGCTAACGGTCATATCATTGAAGGGCATTTATATCTTATCATGCCGGGCTGCTCCCTAGGCTATAAATAGCCGCCCCCTACAATCACTAGTTGGTTAGCTGCTCCGAGAGAAACTGGCACTTGTCATTGAGAGAATCCCATCCTCCAAGGACTTTGAGCGAAAATCATCAAGTGAGGAAAACCCAAACCCAAACACCTACAAACCCGAAATGATTGAGCATCACTGAAGAGATTGATCATGTGTTGATCTGACGCTTGTTACCTTTGAAGACTGTGCATCTTCCAGACGGTTAGGCATCATGGTCTAGAGTATCCAAGAGGAAATTGTGGATCGCCGAGCGACCGAGTTTGTGAATGTTTGGAAGTCACCTAAAGACTTACCACAAGTGATTGGGCGAGATCGGTGTGACCTTAGCTCAAGGAGAATACGGTGAGGACTATGTGCCTAGGACTATGTGTCCTCAGATTTAAATACCTAGCCGCTCCAACCAGACGTACAACTGTCACAACAGTTGGAACTGGTCTACCAAATCACTGTCTTCACCGAGCTAACTGGTTCTATTTCCTCAACCTTTCATTTCCTCATTACCATGTTGTGTGCTTGTTCATATCTGTTTGAAGACTTTGACTGAAGACTTTCTCAATTTCCTCAGTTCAATTTCTCCAGTCTGTTTCTCTTCATCCTGTTTTATCCTGTGCTTATGCTTTCTGTACTCTGTGTCTATTTTCATTTCATCATGATGTCCATGCTTATGTTATGTCATTTATGCATCTGGGTACTAATTCCGTTGCAAGTAGTTCTTCGCTTATGAATTTACTCACCCTGAAATTCCTCAATGAAGAATTCATAAAAATCGACTATTCACCCCCCTTTAGTCGACTTAACGCACTTTCAATTGGTATCAGAGCAAGGTACTCCCTTGTTCTGTGTGATTTTGGTTTAACCGCCTGGAGTTTTAGTTATGTCGACCGCGGGAATGAAGACTGTGTCATGCCCCATCTTTGACGGTCACGATTATCCCAAATGGAAGGCCATGATGAAGAAGTGACTCATGGCGATGAACAGCAAGCTGTGGACCGTCACTGAGATTGGTATTACCGATCTATGCAAGATGGCGGAGGCTGATGACATTCGCAAGTACACTCTTCTCAACCTCACGGCGAAG